AGTCTTAAACATCCAAATGAAAATTAAAAACATTCATAGAAACATGTTCAATGCCTCAATCGCTCATACAGCCAAACGCCGATACGCCATTTGATTTAGGGAAAAAATGAGGAAAATCAATTGGTTACAAACTTACTTACGACCTTATGAGTTAGGACCACAAGTCAAAATATCAATACATTTAAAAATAAAAAATATATTTTTTTAATTAAAAATATAAACGGGTTGGCAGGTCAACCCATTTATTTTTTGAGAAACTCATATATGACCCGTTTAATAAACGTGTTGGCAGGTTGGCGGGTTGGCGGGTTGAAAAACTCAACCCAAACCCGTTTATTTCGTGTCGTGTCGCAGATCGTGTCGCGTGTCGTGTCGAGAATTGCCGGCCCTAATTGGCGAACAGGCTACAGGCCTACAAACATACAATATAAGGCCCATGCTTGATGTTTGCTAAAAAAAAAAAAAAAAATTAAGGCCCAATGATACCATGAAACATGTTTTTTTTTACCATTTTATTTTCTCAAAATCCATAAGTATTTGTTTATATTATAAAAGAGAACTAAGAGTGCACTAATTCAACTAACTAGAAGTTAGGCTTTTTGTATAAATTATCAAATAGTATGATCTACATTTTACTTTAAATAAAACTATAAAAATATATAACAATAAGATCATAGGATGTAGGCAAGATGTATTATTATATACAAAATAAATTCAAGTACACATTTAAGATATGTCATAGGCATATTTACGAAAAAAAAATGATAAGATATAAAATATATAACCAAAAAAATGTGAAAGTAAATCATTTAACCATCATAAAATTTAATTAAATGATGCAAATGAACTCTTGTTTAACATTTTCATAATAACATGGATGAAAAATCGCTCGATGTTAGCTAGTCGGGTGGACTGGGGAGGGATTAATCGGAGACCATAAATTGCTAATTTGTTGAATTTTTTACAAAAACAAATATGACTAATATAATAAAAAAGTTCATAAATACCACTAATATCATAACAAAATAAGTTAATATGATTAATACAACACTAATCATTCCTCAAATAGTTTCTGCTGAAATATAACTTATTCAAAGTGTTAAAATTTCATCGTTTTTACTACTTCACTCATTGTGTAGACAATAATTAATCGTTAGGCACTCTCTAGTCGGTCGGGTAGCGCCTAGAGATAAATCAGATATTAATCGGGACCTAGTCGGGATTTTTACAACACTTTATAATAATAACTTGAATTTTAGCAAATTGTATGAAGATGACATGCTATAAGCTCGTCTTTGTTTATAGATTACATATTTCAAGATAGTGCTTTTAATTGATATTTTTGTTGGTTCATTAACTAAGGTAAAATGAGATTTATCTTGAGGGTTGAAGTTGAGATCATCATAGTGTCGTAGTAGCATTTAGACGATGTTGTAGAAAACTTTTAACTCTAGGGTTCCAGTTAATCTATTATTGTTTCACTGGTTAATTTATTTTATTAAATGTTGAATAACATTTCACTTTGTTCAACTTCAAATATTAAATACACAATGAATATACAATATAATCATGGTTTTTATTTGAAAAAACTACAAAAATGGTTCCTATGGTTTGTAGTTTTCTGTAGCTGACGTCCAAAAAAGAATCTTTTTGCACAAACTAGTCCTTATTTGAAGGTTTCATTGTGGATTTGGTTCCTAAATTTAATACAAATAACCAAAATCCCTTCTGTCTTTGGCAAATTACTATTTTACCCTTATTTATGTATTTTTTTTTTGTTATTTTTTATTATGTCTAATGTATTTTTTAGGCCCACATTCACAACTTATTTACCTTCACTCTTCCTTCGTTTTCACCTCACTAGTTAACATCTCAACGTTGCTTCTTCTCGACCCCATCGCACCTACTTCTTCTGATCTACGTCAAATTTCTATATTTCTGTTATGCATCAAGTTATGTCACATATTCTAGATAAGGGCAATATGGGAAATTCAATAAATAAAGAGAATCTTATTAGTTCAGGGGCAATTTAGGTAATTTATATTATTTAGTTTGTTAGGTAAGATAGTATAAGAGGGTAGTGAGAATGGGGAGTGAGGAATGAATCTTTTTGTGAATTCTGGAATTTATTCATTAGGAGAGTAGGTATCTCGAATCAGCTAACCTATCATTTGTTCTTGTAATCTTTTGGATATAATTGAGGTTATCAATCAATATTTGAAGCTGTTGGTTGCTTTTTTTATGTTATAGAATCTGTTCTTATAAGTCCAGTTCATAACAAATGGTATCAGAGCATTCATCTGGACGAGGGCTGGAGATAAAGGAGAAGGGAAGGATGCTGGAGGAGCTCTAGTCAAGAGGGTTGAATCGCTAGAAACTGAAATAAGGCAGTTGTATGATCGAATGGAGAATCAAGGGCATCAGATCCAACATCAGGATGACTCCATAGCCTCTCTTTAGTTGAACATGGATCAAAAGTTTGAGGAGATTTTGGGTGCCATAGCCAAATGTCGAACAACAATCAACAATGAGAAGAAAACCGTGGAGGGAGAGCCTAGCAACACAGCGGTTTAATCCATGGAGGAAACTCCAAGGGTTTACAGTGGAGCGTCGCACACTAATACAGGAGATTCAAGAAATGGAACAGGAGGTGGTTTCGCCGGCAGAGGCGGCGGCTATATTACGGAAGGCGAATACAGAGGAGGAACCAACCGGAGATTTCACAAACATGAGATGATCTTGTTTGATGGAACTAACACAGAGGAGTGGATTTTTAATGTAGAAATGTCATTCTGCTCATATGAAGATGAAGAAACAATGGAAGCTGCGGTGGGGGCTCTAGAAGGCGACGCTCTACTGTAGTATGAATGGGAGCATAGGAGGCGGCCCACACGAGATTGGGAGGAGCTGAAGGGCTTGATCCGTCGTCGATTTGGATCCTCATAGCAATCGCCGATCTTTCAACTCAAAGAGAAGACAGAGCAGAAGACGGTTACGTCAAAAGAAGTAACGGTAGAGACGTTTCTAGGGCATCACAATCTCGGTCATGATAAAGAAAATACATAGGCCGAAATTAGTCTTGTGGGCTCACATAAATCAGATCAGATAATGAGCTCAATGTCAAACAAAGGTAACAATTCAAAACCTAGCCCAATCATTACTAAATCATCCGAAGAGAACTTAGACCCACAAGAAAAAAAATTCAACCACAACCAAATTAATTGCACCGCCTACAACTTTCATACCCTTGCTAGCGTTCGCACCTCCCCCACAGACTGTCAATCCTTACTTCCCGTCTTCGCTGAAGGAAACACACACAGATCCGGTATCTAACAGGCAACCATCTAGACATTTAGAAGAAGAACAAGAAATCGGTATACTGTCTCGACCATCTCCTGGAGACATGGATTTTTTTTTGCAAAAATCCTCATGGTGAAACTCAAGTTGCTTTTACTGGGAGTGACATTATCGGTTGGTTTGAGGCTGGGTATTTGGGAACAGATTGCTTGGTACGATCTGCAAATTCACCACAAGACTCAACATTTCTTTCACCATGTGATGTAATGCCCCACTTGTGTACAAACGCCCGACTACCCACTGGATTTATTGCTACAAAAGAAAAACAAATAAATGAGAACTCAAGTATACCGAACACTGAAGTTGAGAATAGATTCAACAAGACCCTTATGTCTAGTAAAATTTGTGGCGAAGGTAAGCAAGGGTTAAACAAACTTCAAGATAAACATGTTCCTCCTCGGGAAGCCTTTGGGGTCCACCATAGGCTGGAATCATTGAATCTGCCCTCACGGAAGGTTCTATATTCTGGTCTTTCTCATGTTCAAATCATAAGTACATTTCAGCAGCAATACATAGGCCTTGAAAATGTACCACAAGACTCACCATTTACTCTACTCGGTGATATTATGCTATATATGTGTGCAAAACTGCCACCTGACTTCAGTGCTGCATCACAAAGTGATGTCAATTAGGTAAGTCAAAATTCACTCATACCATGAGGAGAAATGGAACTGGATTTAAACAAGGGGTGGCTATGGAGGCTGAGAAGGGGATTAGTGAGTCATTGACCTTTGGTAACAAAGGTGAGGGCAACTCAGACATGAGTACATTTCATGCAAATGAAGAAAAAAATTGTCAAGGCAGGTCTTGGTTTATACCTCCAAAATGATGACAATTCAAAAAGCGAAAACTGTTATATACCAAAAAGAATGATGCAAACATGGAGTGGGCACACAAAGGGGGTTTCCGCTATTAGGTTCTTACTTAATAGCAGTCACTTGCTTTTGTTAGCTGGAATGGATAGCAAGGTCAAGATTTGGGAAAAATTTAATTCAGACAAGTATGATGAATTAATGGAGGTTGATATTACTTATCCCATGAAGATGGCGATATCTTATTTGGAGTATGTGTCACATGTGGCAAAGACATCCCTCACATCAGATCCAGTGGAGCAAGCAAGTGGGACATATGTAGGGAGTGCTGATCATAGTAAGGCAAAGGGCAAGACAAAAAGGGTCACAAGGAGAGTTTGGATGCTATACACCATTTCTATCCACCTTGAGGACAAGGTGGTTCTTTTGGGGTGGTGTATTGTTATACATCAACTTACGTCACATATTCTACATAAGGGCAATATGGGAAATTCAATAAATAAAGAGAATCTTATTAGTTCAGGGGCAATTTAGGTATTTTATATTATTTAGTTTGTTAGGTAAGATAGTATAAGAGGGTAGTGAGAATGGGGAGTGAGGAATGAATCTTTTTGTGAATTTTGGAATTTATTCATTGTGAGAGTAGCTATCTCGAATCAGCTAACCTATCATTTGTTTTTGTAATCTTTTGGATAGAATTGAGGTTATCAATCAATATTTGAAGTTGTTGGTTGCTTTTTTTTTTATGTTATAGAATTTGCTCTTATAAGTCCAGTTCATAACAATTTCCTCATTTATTTGCAAATGTAGCATTTGTTTTATGACATTAATATGTGTCTTAACCCTAATCATACATACTTATAAAGCTAGCATTTTTTCTTGAATCTCATGCATTTGAAACCCCATTTTTTAACTTCCTCAAACCACATTCATTTGAAACCCCTTTTTTAACTAATGCAACTCAAAAGTTTTCTTAATTATGATTTAACACTCAAAGGTTTTATAACTTATATTATGTTTAATTAGCATTTAGTGAAAAGTTTACTATAAAAAGGTCAATCTTTTGTGTCTTTTGTGTTATATAAAATCTTACATGTAAGAAGAATGTCATAAGAAAATGAAAAGAAATTTTTTTCAATAGGCACAATTCTTTTAGAACGTATTTGCAGTGGAGTCCCTAAAATAGCTCTACAAATCAAGGTTGTTGATGAATGTATCATTTTTTTACTCATAATTTGATCGCGTTATATTTTTTTCCAGTAATATAAATAAGACCATTCAAAATAATATGTTTAGAGATATTTTGTTTTCTCAAACCATATCATTCAAAATCATATGTTTAGAGATATTTTGTTTTCTCAAACCATATTGATTTGAAACCTACATAATTTTTTATATTCCTTAATTAAAACCATTTATAGTATTTATAAATTTCCAATAATTCTTTTGCATTCTTTTATTATATATGTAGTTATGTTAGTACATTTTTCTTACAAAAAGGCGTCATTTGGTTGAAGATATTGTGATTCAAAAATTTTCATATAGTTGAAGCATTCAGATCCAAATATGATTATTTGAAGAAATAGGTGATGTCGCATCGATGGTAACTGTAATATGATTTTTTCTTTCAACCAAAACAAATGAAGCTTTTCTATTCTTTCTTTATATTCAGTTTCTCAT